ATTCAATCCTATTTATTCAATGATACGTTACATACTATAAAAGTTATTCTTGACTTTCAAATAATGTTCTCGTATATTCTATTTTAAATTTCATTTATAAATAAATAACATAATGTCTATATGCTGTGACAGATTCAAATAAATTACTCACACATTGATCACAATACTGTGCTATTACCGTGTAATTTCATTCTTTATACGTTAATCCACTTATCTGAATTTTCGATTATCCGAACCACCTTCAGAACGAATCAATTCGAAGTTGTACTTTATATATATTCCTACAGCACAGTATCCATTTACAAAATTATTCATATAGAATTAAAGGGAGAAGGAAATGCAACAAACAGGGAGAGTGCTTCCCGAGAAAAATTTTATGGAAAATTGACTCCTATTCAAGTATTCGAGACGAGAAAAACCCAGACAACTCGTGCTCAGGACGTCGATGAGGAACGAACCCACGACCAACTAACTACTAGTGTTTATTGGTTTCATCCACGCAGCCACCAATGGGCCCGTTGATTCAAAGGGTATTTCAAAGAAAGTACTCGAAAAATAAACGTTTTATATATAAACCAAGAAAGGATTGTGGGTTTAACAGCATAAGACAACAGAATACGTGGCGATATGATAAAAGAGGTATATTTCACCTAAACTTTCTGAGATTTCGAGATTTTACAGCCATAATACATTACGTCATTCAAATAAAATTTCATTGTGTGTTAAATTTATTTAATTAAGATATTGGTGGCCCACAGTGCATTAATTCTTAGAATAGTTCTCACTGTAATATAATTATATGTATGTTAAGTATGCAAAACTGGTACGTAGGAATGTAGAACCGAGATTCCACTAAAATCTTAAGCATAACTCTCTTTAAAATATGTTTGCAAAATCGATATTGAACAATAAGAAATTCAGAATTCTAAATATAAATAGTTTAATTCTGAAATAAACGCAATGCAAATGTTGATAATTGCAGAGTATCAATTTGTTTTTATAAGAATGCATTATAATTAATTAATTGATTTGATGCTTGGTCTTTTTATAATTTTTCAATTCTAAGCCTGATGGAAACTGGGGTAGCCATTTTCCTATTTCATTGGTTTATCCAGATTCACAATGAAGGAGTACCCACCAGTAACCAAGCAGTTCCATTCTCTGAACACTGAGGGTTCGGTCGTGGGTTCGCGCTTCACCCGGATGGGCTGACCACGTGGAGTTTTCTGGGTTTTCTCCACGTCTGTAACGCCTGAATATGGGCCAATTACCCTTAAAAAGACCTTCTGAAGCTGAATCCCGTCGGCTGATCTCCCAAGTTTTGCGTTGCCGTAACTTAAAACAAACAAACAAACAAGCACAATGAAGGAGACCGGGCGATAAAGATCACACACCAACACTTTGCAAACATAAAGCTTACTATTATTTATTTTATTCGCCTTCATATAATACCAGGGTATATTTTAAATATAAATTACTGCAACACGCATAACGAGAACGCAATTATTACCGTCTCCGTAGCAAATATAGCGGTATCGTGTGAACTAAACATGGCGGATCAGCATTTAGAATGCGATATTCTATAAATCCAAGATTTATAATTTTTACTCTTTCTTTTATTATTTATATTTATTATTATATTTCGTATATTCAGAAATATACAAATTATTATTACTTTAAAAACGTTTAAATTTTACGAGTAAATAAGCATTTTTTAAAAAATTAATATCTGGCAACACTTAAGTACGGATCTAAAAACCTGGAAGTGGGTATTTACTTCTTATCTTCGAAGTCTTTTCGTAAGAATTTTATATTCCTTTTATAAAATATTTGATATTTATACTTAAATTCTAAATTCAGTATGCTTTATGTCTTCGTTTTATTAAATAAAAATAAAATATTCTGCACAATAAATGCAGAACATCCATGTTTAAGTAGAAGTTACTTTTAGGTAAACCGTACATACATAAATATATAGATATTAACGTAAAAGTAACCTCTACTTAACAGTAAATTTAAGGCATGAAATTCGCCGTCGATTTCTACATTTTCGGTAGTTGGGCTGCAATTTGAAAAAATTGTTGACCTATAAATTGCCACTGTCGCCTGTCTGCGTGTCTGTCCGTCTGTCTTTTCCTAATTTCGAGAGTGGAGTTAAGTAGATGCAAAAAAAAAAAAAAAAAAAAAACCTGGGGCCATATTCTGGTCGTTGTCTCTCGTCTCTGAGACACATCGCTATGTCACAAGACAGTCGCTGATTTGCTAATCATTTGTTTACATTTCGAGAGAACGTCACGTCTCTACAAATGTGATTCTGGATGACTTTTTCTCTCGAAGATTGTCTTTTCTCTCAGAGATGAGCGGATAGGTGTCTTTTGACCTGTCTCTTGTCTCAGTTATATCCAATATGGACAACTGTATGCTAGCTATTCACTATTCACACTGTACAGTTGTATTAGAGAATGTTCTCTATCTCGGGAAAGAATATTTCAAGAGAGAAAAAAATGCTTCTGATTTTTCTCGGCAATGCCACTCATTATTCTATATTAATTACTGAACTATTGAATATGATGTTAATCTTATCTGTCTCTTGTAAGTATTTTTCAAAATATTATCATCAAATTTCTCCTTAACTAAGTACGCACACTTTTCTAATTTAGGTTATTAAAATTTTTATTTTTTAAGAGACAATTTGACGTTACAATCTGTAATAACATTACAAAACAAAAAACATAACTTTATCAGAATTACATGCTTTCCTTACCACGTGATCTATAATTATGTACTCTGCATTTTCGAAAATTTCACAATTTCATTGGTTAAAATTCTATACTGTGTTGCACGTGCAGATAACCCGAACATGTATAATCAACCTAGTAGAATCGTAATGTCAACAACAAAGATGAGATCGTTAAAAGTGACCAGAATTGCTACCGTCAGAAGAGACAAATCTCGTCATTCATCTCTGGAAGAAGAGACGAGACATTAGTGACAAGAATATGGCCCCAGATACGAAACATTTATGGACAGAAGGCTCCAATTAACTATGTAAAAACTTCCGGCTTGCACCGGAAGTCACATTATTTCAGTTCAGAAATTTTCCCCAAAAGGTGATCAGCATGACTATTATTAAAAAAAAAAGTATGATGTAAAGGGTTAAGCCAGTACTAATTTGAGGTGAGGAGCATATACGGTGGGTGATTGGTTAACAAACAGTTTGGATTGCGAACAAATCGGAGGACGAATGCTTTTGCAAAAGATTTTTATGTTCGGATAACGAACACCTGACAGAACAAACACAAGAAGTGATGAAGCATTTAAGATTTGTAAAACTATGCCTATATTTTACTACTATCTATGAATGGTTTAAGGAACAAGACTTTTACAGTTGTATATATAACCTTTCTTGTACTAGTTGATTTCTGTTCTCTGAATTTTTGTGTTTTTTCTGAACTTTTTATTTGAAAAAACTGATAATATTATGGGACCTAAAAAAGAGTGGAGTGTGAAGAACTGTGTTCACTATAGAAACTTAGCAAGAGATAATAATCAAGGTAGAGAGTGGACAGATGTACAGATGTCTAATGTTGGTAGGCAGTATGGCTTCAACAGGTCTACAGTAGGCGCAATCTTAGTTTAGAAAGACTCTGAAAGATATAAAAAGACTCAAGCAGATAAAGAAGTAATGAAAATTGCATCTGAGAAAGAAAGATGGGCCATCCATTAAAAAATGGAGGGATTGCTTTTAGTTTGTTATTACATGTACATATTAAGAAATTATATAATTATTTTTGCTGGAGTCACCAGAACAAATCAATCGAATTCCCATAAAAGTTATGGTAAATCAATAATTGGTTAATGAACAATTTGGGTAGCAAACATTGTCTTTGAACAGATTATATCGGTTAACCAATCACCACCCATTGTATTTTAAATGAAATAAATTAAAAATATGATTAAAAATTGCAGCTTGGCATTGTGACGATGTCACAGTAAATAATTGCTTGTTATTTGGTAAAATTTTATTCTTATTTTTTGTTCCAAATTAGGGTATGAGTTAAGGGAAGGATATCTACTGTTTTTTTTTATTGTGTAAGGAGTAATTAGGTGAAATGTTATGAGTGTGGTGGTTCTGTTCTGATTTGGGACAAGGAAAGGCATTTTTGCATGGTTATTTTTTCCCAATGAGATTAGCATTTCTGTGTTTCTTTCCAGCTAGTTTAACTATTCTGGCTTTGAGTGGCTCCGCTTGGTTGTTCGTGGAGTATGTAATGTTATGTAATAGGGGGTGTAGGTTTTCTGCCTTGTGTGCTGAGATGTGAGTTTTCCAAGCCTCACGCTTGCTCATTGAGTGAGCATCGTGAATACGAAATAATTGTTATGTAATTAGGTGAAATGGGGAAGAGATTCACTGGAATGTAAGTTAATGAAACAGAAATTATACATCCAATATATGTTATTTAATGACAGGGATGTTTCAAGAAATACATTGTTAAGAAATTTTGTCTTTATGTGACATCATAGAATGCATTTATACAAATCTGTATGGTGCATTCTTCTACTTATACAGGCTATACATAACACAACTGTAATACATTAATATTTATGTATCTAAACATAGAATGGTGGCTGTGAATTTTTCGGCTTCTGTATAATCTTACAGGAGTAAGATTAAATGGCACATACCTGTATACCAGTATACACAAGTAACTTGGATATAAAATAATAAATTTCAGTAATAATGGTAAATTTGTAATTGCATAATTTAGACATAATTCAAATTTAGCAAAGCTATCAACATAATAATTATATATTTTATTGTTAAAGTGGGTAGTTATTGAAAAAATATATTGTCATTTAGATATTTTAACTGTGATTTCATAATGATAAAGTGTATAATATAATTTATTTTATTGAATCTAATTAATATAACAACAAATAAATTAAAATTCTGGTAAGATGTTAACTTCATTGATTGATATTAATAATGTTTTGTACAGAAAATGCCAAAACACGAGCCTCTGACACCTAAAGCCATTGCCAATCGAATCAAAGCTAAAGGTCTACAAAAATTGCGATGGTACTGCCAGATGTGTCAAAAACAATGCAGAGATGAGGTAAGATTTTTTCATCTAATAATTGTTATATTGGGTTGGTCCATAAGTTCTGGCGGTTTTTTTTAAGTACACTCAACTTTTGAACCATTAAGTGAAGGTGATGCTCTAAGGTACTGTGGGAGCATTCCATTATCTCTGCCAATTCCCTTGTTGTTTGGTATGAATCTTCGTGAATAAACTGATTCAGTCGCTCCTCATCGAACTGAATGGAGTGTCTGGTGCGATGCATGTCTTTGAGGTTGAAATTGTTGTCTTTGAATTTCTTAAACCAATTTTGAGCCGTCCTAAGAGGCATCACTTCTTTGCCTTACACTTCACAAATCTCTCGAGCAGCTACTGTGGCTTTGTCATCTCAATTAAACGCACAAAGCAGAAGGTGTCAAAAATGCTCTTTTTTGTCGACTTGACACTTCCATTTTATTGACCTGAAAAGAACAAATAGTATATCAGCATAAAAAAACTAAACACACTATTTTGTAGAACACATAATTCTCTATCAAATAACATAAAACGCAGTGCCAAAACATTTTATTTTTCATGCAAAATTTTCACTTAAAAAATCGCTAGGACTTATGGACCAACCCAATTTATCTATACAATCCATTGAACGCGTGTTTGTCTGTCTGCGTAACGGTATGCCAAAAACGGGCAGTAGAGGTGTCCTAGTGATGATTTTAAATTAACAATAAATTATTTTTATTTGTAATAGGAATTTATTATTGATATGAATTTATTATTTATACCACGGAATGGTAGAAATAATTATTATATGCCTTGATTAACATTGCGCCGCACGTTTACAACATTCCGTGACTCACAAGTCAGTGAACATCGTGCATTGACTCATGGGAAATTTGTTGAAAAAATGGCAGATACATTTAAAATTACTTTATAGATAATTTAAATATTTTGAAATCTTTTCATCATATTATACTTATCTGATGAGATTATAAAGCCAAAAATGGGATAAAATTGCAAAAGCCTTAGGATAGGTCTTTCCAAAGTCTTTTAACAAGTTGCTACAATAGACTATGAGATAAATTCTAGTCATTTTGAAAAAGTATACCATAATTAACATCCATCATATTTATAAAATGAGTTTATAAGTTAAGAGCAAGTTTTCTCAAACATAAATAAGATTTTCTTTTCATTTAGAATTCATATTTCAAAAGTATTAAAATGTTTAAAGTAGATTTTTATTTAATTATATGATTAAAAATGATATAAAAATTTGATTTAAAATTATTTTCATAGTTATTTATACCTAAATTTATCAATGAACGTCTTACTTTTTATTGTAGAACGGCTTTAAATGTCATACAACTTCAGAATCTCATCAGCGACAGTTACTACTATTTGCTGAAAATCCTTATAAATACATAGACAGATTTTCAAAGTAAGAATTCTGATAAAATTCTTATTTTAATTTTGATTTTAACATTTTAAAATATACTAATTTTCAGGATAAAATTTAATATTGCTTTAAATATGTTTGTAAATTTACTAATAAAATTTTATTTTTATTTCAGAGAGTTTTTAGACACATTTATTGAATTACTCAGTAGAAGATTTGGTAAGTATTTAAAATGAAATAAATGATTGATTATTTATCAGTATAATGTGTTTTAACATAACTAGATGAAATTCTTTGTAACAGATGATGAATTTTTACAAGTAACCTGTTACTTGTGAAAATTGGAGTGCCATATTACTAAGAGTATATGGTGTAAAATTGTCTAAAGACAGTGAATGATATGACCTATTATTCTTTGGTACTGATTTATTTTGTGCTGTTTTGTTGTTATGAAATTATGTACAGTGATACAATAATTTAACATTTAATTCTTTATTCACAATAACATGTAGTACTGTACACAGAAGTAAAATGCGTAAACAGGATGTGTGATGTAACTAGCATTTTTGTGGAAACGGAAACACAGTGGGGCTTGACAGATAATTGAGAGACCAGTTTCGCAAGAGAGTATTATATTTATTTACTATTATAAGTTGTTTTACAATTTTTCTGTGAATTATAAATGTTTCTAAGCATTTATATGGAATTTTAATAAGTGGGTAAATTAAATGTTCAGATATATTTTATGCAAAGTAGAAAAGTTCTAATAGTTATTTATCATTTCAAACACAGTTGCAACATCAAACTTTTAAGTGGCATTATTAAATTGATTTTATATACCATAGATTTAATATGAAGTGAATTGTCATTAAAAAGAGACATAATACTTGAAAAAGTGGAAGGCCAGCATAAAAAGACTTACTATAAGATGTAGTACCATTCAAATAGCAGCAGCTGGCATGAACCTCTCAGAGATATGATTTGGCTTGTGACTGAACAGCATTTAGGGCTGCTTTCCACTAAGATAGCACATAAATTGAAAAAGTTTATCTGCATATGTAAACTAGTATTGTATTATTTAATATTTTACTGTATAAAATGTTAGATTACATTATTATATTTGGATAATGAATTTAAATTCCGGATCCAGAACAATCAAAACTATGAACACATTGATCATAATTATCGAAAACTGGATATTGAGATTGCAATAACTGATTTGGTTCTTTCCAATATTCAGTTTGTTTGATGCTTGATCATTTTATTTCATTAACATATTGTTATGGAGCAAACAATAAAATGAAAAAAAAATAGAACAACTGAAAATAAATTCGAAAACAAAGTAAAGCACATTCTTAAAAGTTCATCCAATAGTCAGGTGTCTTAACCAGATTAGTAAGTCCATAAGTCCACCACTGTAAAAAGCACATTAGCTGTGTTATGTACATATCAGTTAAAACAAATTTAATATTATTATGAATTGTTAAGATTGCTATGATATGGGAATGTAATTCAGTTGATATTGTTTAGTTATAAAATTGAAATTTTTAGTTTAGAATAGAGAATAACATTAATTAAATTAATAGAATTTAATTTGTTTCACAGGTACTAAAAGAGTACATGCAAATCAGGTATATCAGGAATATATTTCAGACCGACATCATCTTCACATGAATGCTACAAGATGGGAAACATTAACAGATTTTGTTAAATGGCTAGGAAGAGAAGGACATTGCGTAGTTGATTATACTGATAAAGGATGGTTTATTAGGTAATTAAATGTCTTTATATATATTAGGATGTATTTTTATTTCTGTCATTTAACAATATTCAATATTTACGTTCAGCTACATAGATCGAGATCCTGAAACAATAAGAAGACAAGAAGCTTTAGCAAAAAAAGAAAAAATGAATTTAGATGATGAAGAGAGGATAGCAAAATTTATAGAAAAGCAGGTTTTTGTTTAAAAATTTTGTTTATATAGTTATATATGAACAAACTTTTAATTAATAATTAAACAGAATTAGTTTTAAAAAATTATAAGGATTTTAAATATGACTAATAAGAAAATTACTAATATGTTTATGAAATTGTTTTGTAAAAATATTAAATATTTTTACAAAATTATAAGATAGATTTTATCTTATAATAATAAATATAATCAAACTTAATTTGAAACACCATTCAAAGCAAAAGCTTTTAAGAATTCGTTTAGTTTTGTTATACAGATATTATAGTAATATTGTTTAAATAATGCATTACGTATTATTACAATTAAATATTTATCAGTGTTCTTCCCAGAAATGTTTAATAGCTGGATAGAATGGAATATTAGCAAAATAGGGAAGACTGAAGTACTATAAAATTTCCTTGTTTTGTGATATATGTTAATACAATCACTATTTCTCTACAAACTTAAATATATACACAGGCAGTTTTTGAATTATGAGAGAGATTTGTTCCTACAGCTTGATGTAAGTTGGATTTCATTATAAGTTAGTTCTTAACATTAAACATCTTTCCTTTCTCCCTTTTGTGTACTCTACTGTCTGATTTCACTTCCATCACAGTGGCTTTCCTTTTCTTTGACACACTGCCATCAGTAGAATGAACCTTATTCAAACCTTACAGTAGAATAAAAGGCAAAAAGATATGAAGCACCATACACTAATGTAATGAAAGCACAGGCTAATGCGAGAACAACGTACCACTATAACACTCAACGTGGTATTCTTGCTTGCTTCACAGTATTCCTATACCACACTAAACAACAATAACAAAAAGTAGTTCCAACTTGTGTCCTATACCTACACTCCCAGCACCTGCTACACTGACATCACGTCTTAACTTTTGGTCACCGTTGTATGTCAGAACCAGATTTATTATGAATAGTGTTGTAAGATTGGATTATCATAAGCCGGATACTGTGTGTACTATATACAGACACATATCAGTTTCTGATGTCTCCTTCTTTCCCCACTTCTCAAATTCTCTCTTTCTCCATCTCTCTTTTTTGTTTGATTTTATCAATAATCAGTACTTTTGTACCTATCATTTCTTTAATTGTTTATTTTGTTTGCATATATTTTGCATCTAGTTTTGATATTTCCATGTTTTGGTCCTGTACAGCAGTGGTCCCCAACCCCCGGGCCGCGGACCGGTACCGGTCCGTGGATCAAATGGGACCGGGCCGCCCAAGAAACATTAAATTATTTCCATTTTATTTACTATGGTGTATTTCTCTCGGAACAACGAAATAAACTGGACATAAGAAACACACTTCGGGTGTTATTGTCTCCTACTACCCCCAGATGGAACTGTCGCGTTACAAAGAAACGTGCTCAGGGTTCTCATTGATTTAGCGTTCTAGTGAGTTAAAATGTTAAATCACATTATATTCATTTTTTGGTGTAACTGTATTTTATTTTGAAGGCGTGTTTAAATACATTTAAATTAAAATTATTAAATTAAATCAATCTAAAATATAAAAAATCAACGTTCCCCCTCAGTGGGCCGCGGTAAAATTATCAAACGTTGACCGGTCCGCGGAGATAAAAAGGTTGGGGACTGCTGCTGTACAGAGTACAATACTCAATATAGTGTTACATATTTTCATTTTCTTTTTGAGATTCTGGCATTCTGCCAGATTCCATTCAATTTCTTAAACTGCCTTTATTTTGTCTTGTTTCATATCTTTTGATTATCTTTCCCATCTTTCTCTTGATTCAATGATTGACACACACACACACACACACACACATTTATATTCAAATGCATTTGAAAAGGCTCACATAGAAGGTGTATAAAATTTGTATAAGTGAGAACTTTAGAAAACAAAATTTTTACTTATACATTGATTCTGTTTTCTGAAAACAAGACATCCAGAATAATATATAAACCATTGATATCATTGGAATGGCATAACTCTAAAGTGGGCTGTAGTACAATCAGTAGTATGACTAGATTGACAAAATAACCATCTCAGTTGCACAATATCTGATACTTGATTCCTAACCTTTTATACATTTTTTTCTAAAGTTAAATATTGATGAATATCTAAAAGCCTTCTGAAATATGATATTTAAATTTTCTTATAAGAAATTTATGTTTCAGTTTGCTGTGCATCATATTGATCTATCATTACAATCATTCTTCTGACCCTTCAGATAGAACATCTATAATATTTACCTCTAAATAACAGATGTTGATGTCCATAACCTACCTTACAAAAAGCCTTCAATATTCTGAAAGTATTAATTACATACAAAATATTTTCAAACTAAAATAAAGAATCGGTTCAAATACTTTTTCAGAGGATGAATTTTGACCATAGGCATTGAATAAGACTGGCTTAAAATAGGAATAGGGTGAAGGGCAGGTTGTAAAAAGCCGAACAGTGGTCATTATCTGTTAGAGATTAATTTGGTTAAGTTGACAATTACCATTTATCATCATACATATTAATATTATTAAACTTTGTCTTATTGTTGGAATTAAGCTTACAGTACCAAGAGACCATAAACTTTTTTGAACTTATTCATTCATTTGACAAGAACAGTAGTAAGTAGTAATGAAAATAAAGTTTTAAGATTAAGACAACGGCATTTATTTGGTAAAAGTTCAAACGTTTGTGTTACAAAGGCAATTTGCTGACCACTTTAAAAAGTGTAGGAAGATATTTAAGTTTCTTGCATTTATGATCTTAACAGCTTTATGGGGGCTAAAGTAATTTTTAATAAATAATTTATTGAAAAAAGTAAAAATGTTTGAAAAATTACACTTACTTGATAACTACAAAATAGACAAATCACTATATTGATTTTTATTAGTCATTTAGATCATAAATAATGATATAAATGAGAGAATACCGACCACTTCAAGGGGTAAGAATACATTTCTTACAAATGTATGTTAGCAAATTGCCTTTGTAACTTGATATTCAAACTCTCACCGCCTAAACTGACCTTCATCCATTCTTCTCTTTGTAATAACAGCTTTATTTTTCTTTTTCATTACTTCCACTCAGATCATTTTTGATGAATTAATAATTAATCAATGCTTATGTTTTGTCATAATTTTTATGTTCTATTTAATTAAAGTATACTATACAATCTATTTGCTAGTTAGAATTAAATTAAAATATGATTTTTACAGATGAAAAGATAAATAATATACACTATATATATATTATGTATGCTACATATACTTTTTAGTATTTTCACATTCGTGGAGTATGTAATGTTATGTAATAGGGGGTGTAGGTTTNTACTGTATAAACTTCCAGTCTGGCCTGGATGTCACATAATTTTTTAAATTAAAATTGGATTAAAAATTGCAGCCTGGCATTATAACAATGTCACAATAATATAAATTAAATTTTTAATATATAATTTTATTTAATTTATAAGGAATATAAAAGAAATTAATGTATATAAATCTTGTATATTATAGATAGAGAGAGATAAAGGGAGCACGAAAGATGATGATGATGATGCTAGTTATTCTGAGCTAAAGAGAGATAGCGAAGGAGAGAAAGGTATTTCTAAATTAAATTTTTATTTAAAAAATCGTTTACTTGTTAGAAATAAGCACTTCAGAATTTAAATTTATCTGTAATTAAAAAAATAATCTTTCATCGGTGTATAAAATTCTTCATTTTTTTACATTTTATAACTAAATTTAGATTCTTCATATTTACATAGAGATAAAAATATGGAAATATTTGGAATGCATATTGGATTTAACAGAGTCAATATTGAAAGCATAGCCAAACAGTTTATGTAGTAAACTTTTTGGCTGTGCTTCAGTTCTGTTTATGCATTAATGAGTTGTATAATGCTACCGTAACAATGCACAATACAAGTTTTTCAAAATCTTATGGGGCCTCTTGTGTATACAGTCCATCATTAAGCACTACATACCTGTGTTATTAATTCTTAAATTTATAAAATTATAATAAAAACAAATCGGAATACTTACTTTTGTTTTTAAATTTCTTACAGTGGCATTTTCATTAACTGAAAAAATTAAAGAAAAGACAATACCCAAGGCAAAGTAAGTTGATGTAATATTTATTCTTAAAAATGTTTTTATTTTTAAGAAAGTAATCTTAATATAAAATAATAATTTGGAATCTTTATTAAAATTTATTAAAAGATGCAATATTTTAAAAATTTAATACATCGAGAAAAATCTTTGTTAAATAGGCTAACTTTATTTAATGAACATGTTAATTATGCTTAACATATTTATTAAAACATATTTACCAATTTGAATTAAGTAAAATTGTTCAAACTTTATCTTAATCACTCAATAATACTCACTCACATGTCAGTAAATTCTTCAAGAATTACATTTTATATATTGTAATTATATTTTATATAACTCTAAAACATTTTGTGGCATTTACATCTTTAAATTGTTACATAAAAGATGTATGTTCCAAACTCTCTTAGTGTTGAGTTTTGGAATACATGTTAATAATTTAGTATATGTCACTATTCCCTATTAAAATAGCCAATTTAAATAAAATAACTTCACATTTATTTTTTAAGCACATTCCAATATTTGATGACAACCATGAGAGGTAACATTGTTTTTTTATTTTTCACAATTTATTATTTTCTTCCATATAACTTTTTTTAAAAATTAAACTATAAAAGGAGATTAAAAGATAAGTTGAATTTAGTAAAATGAAATAATTTTATTCAACATAGTCATCTCAACTGTATACACTTGCTACAAACACTGCAATCTCTAAAAGAAATTCTTAGTTTGGTACACATAACAGATCTCTGCAGCATCAATATGTTCCTAATTGGAAGCAAATATCATCTCTTTCAGATAGTTTCTCCAATATTGAGATGAAATGATATTCTGACAGGTTAGGTGACTGAATAGTTCAAATACTAAATTCTTTATTTTTTTGCATGGTTTGGTGGGCAGGCAAATGTATCTTGCAAAAAGAACATTTCCAACTCGGCTTCTCCCCTGCTATTTAACTTCAGAGCTTTACAATCCAGGCATTATTATGTATCTTGAATATATTTGCAGAAAATTTTTAAAAATGCAGGTTAAAATCGTTGATTAAATTTAACCTTGAAAGACATTTAAATAAAATAAAAAATAATACTATGGTAATTAGCAATTATGATTATTTACATTTATTGTTTAAACATATTTGTGTGTATTATTTTCTCATATTATTTACACAAGTAAGATATTTAAATATCAGAATTCTTTTAATATGTTATTAAAAACGTTTTATATTTTTATTATATAATTCATATTTTTCTTAGATAAATTGTTATTGAAATCTTCATATATTTAAGCCAGATAATCTTTTTCTTTTGTAATAATTGTAAAATGTAGTTTAATTATTACAGACCGCTTAGTAAGTTAATATCAAAACCATCGTCATCTAATAATAATAATGATGAACAAAACAAACAGAGTAATGAGGCAAAAAAGCGAAAGAATGTCTTGGATGAAATTATTGAAGAACAAGAAAAAAGAAAAGAAAAAATTAATAGAAAAGATCACTGGCTTGCACCAGTAAGTTAAATTTTATTAAATTTTTGATGGATTTTAGACTAGATTTTTTTAAACAGTTATTCAGGCCTGCTTTACTATTTGATTAACCTTTTACCCTGGCATGGTGGTACATTTAAAGTTGTCCAAGTGCTACAGAGAAGTGTGGTTGCATCTAAATTAATTAGTCTGGAAGTGGTGATCAGAAGGATGTCTGGGTAGCATAATTGACAACACATCTGCACAGTAAGCAGAAGTTGCAGGTTAGCATCCTGCCTAATGATTGAATTTAATATAAGATGTTGACATAACCACCTATCTTTAGTCTAAATTCTATCATATTTATACATTTAATTAACCAGGTTATAGCCTGATAATGAATCTGGCATTGTTATAGATATATATTAATAATCAGATGTTTAAGATGTAACCCAAAGCATTTACATTGTTTAAGTTAATGCCATAATAAATGTAAAATTGTATCTCTTAGATGATAAAAAAAATATAATTGTGTAAAATAAAAACAGAAATAATAATAATAGGTACATTATGTCCTCTTCTATGATGTTAATACACGGGAAAGTCAGTAATTAGGTTACAAATAGATTTCTGGCCTAATTTTTAGTAAATGCTTAACATAATCATTAATTTTTCAATAAAATTCCTATAAAGATTTAGGAATTTTTATAGGAATTTGATCATATCCTGTCAATTTTGACAGTTTGATGATCTGTGATATGTTTTCTCTCTAACTGCAAATTTTCATTTTCAGATGGCCCACAGAATTTCAAGTAGTATATTAAAATATTACCGTAGAGTTAAAGTCGGGTTTTTAAAAACTCCATTGATGATGGCCTGCTTTTCTGTCAAAACTTTGCTACTCCCATTACAAGTTTCAGGGAGGGATTGGAAGAAATGTAGTGACCTTGAATGGGTCTGTGCTGGACCAAAAATAGCACACGATAAACAATTTCTCCCTCACACAGAGTGCACAATTTATTCTATTTAAATTATTTTGAATTTTCCACCTCCTTGCTCTAAGAAAATTTCAATTTTACAACACAATACAAGTCTTTTTTTATTTAAATAAAATTTATGAAGTAATTTAAATAAAATTATGAAATTTTTTTAAACAATAGAAATGACATAGTTAATTAAATAATCAATTTTAAGTGAAGTTTTTCGTTTTTTGTAAGAAGTAAATAAAGTGTTTTTTAATAAAAAAAAATTTATATAATTGTGTGCAAATTGGGCTTAAATTCACTTGGCCAAATATTACATAATGGAAAGGAAAAATGCAGAGAACTTATTAGGTCGTGGAACAATGTCATAATTGGTCAGAAAACACAGGTGGAATTACTTGTACGAACCCTGTCTACACTGAAATTGTTCAAGCATACTTTAAAGATAATTATAATAGCTATTTTAAAATTTGAATCTTCAGTTAACAATTGTCTTTACATTTTTATGCAGAATAAGTATTATGTAAATATATTCATAAATACAGTTGATTCCGTTTAATTGAGGCGGCTTTTCGCTTAATTGGGACTGTAGCAGAAATGGAATTTAGCAGTTTTTGATATATTTTAGAGACTTTTCGAAAATATGTCAACACTACTTACACTAATGTTGTGTAGGCCTAATGGTTGGTGGTGACAAAGCAGTTTTATCTTTCACTTGAGCGAGTCGGTTTTTCCGGATGAGGTCAGTATAACAGGATATATTGCACCAGGACCATCTGAAGCAGACCTGAATGTGAGTTACTGACCCTGCTCTGGATTGGACCATCTGCATTGGACCAAGGACACCCAGACAATTTTTTGAGGTTTCTCATCCAAGTTGGAAGACAGCTAGAGTTGTGGAAGCCCTTATAAAGTGCTGCATACATGATTACGTCTAGACTAGGACAGCAGCCATCTGATCATTGGGACCAGTATCTGGAGCTGGTGGATTATACAGACGCTCTCACCAAAGTGGCTCATCGCCAAGTAAAGGAAACTGTGCTCAAAGAAAAGCTGTAAGGTGACTTTTAGACAAATCTGGCACATTCTAACTAAAAAGGGAGAAAGGAAAGATTGTTCAATCATGAACGGATCAAATGGTCAACCCTTGCGTACTTCACTACTAATATTTGGCAACACAAGCATGATGCAAATCAATTATTTATCATCGTGAATCTGGCAAATTTATAGTACAAATATTTTCTTTATGTTGGTTTAATAAAGCATTAAAATAAGTATCTAATTATTATTTTTTTACCTACATATTACATATTTTAATTTAGAATTTATTATTAGTTCATTTAATTGGGGCAACCTCTTAATCATGCCAAAATTGATTAATCCCAGCATGTTCCAATTAAGCAGAATCGACTGTTTTATATATATATAGGACTGTAAAGAGAAGGCCAGCTTCTGATTTGCCTATTTTGTTGAACTTTTCCTTATTAAATACCAGAAAAATGATATGCTATTCTGACAATATTATTTTATTTTAAATTTTTCAACATTATGAAAATATGATGAAATTTGTAATGCTTTTAATAAATTATTACTATTTTATAAGCTTTTGTTGCATGTAAATTGTAGTTGCTGCTCCTCTATATAAATATATATATAAAAATATGCTGATTATTTTTTTATATTATAATATTACAGTATTTTTTATTTATTTTTTAGGGAATTATTGTAAAAGTGATAACAAAGAAAATGTCAGATAAATACTACAAAAAGAAAGGTGTCATAACAGTAAGTATTCTATAATTACTATTTATGTTTTGTTTTAATACTTTAATAAATACCATAAAAACATACCTTAGCATGTTACAAATATGTTTAATTATAAAATGAAAACTTATGAAATAAAGCCTGTCAAATGACACTTAATTTATTTCATGCCCACTAATGATGAGAACTGGGACCTTATATCCTGCTCAAATTACCTTATTTGAAAATTTGACCCATGCACAAATCCAACAACTTCAAAGTAGCAGGTTAATGCCTTTATTATGCAACTGTCAAGCTGTCATGCAATAGTTTTAGTTCATCAGTGGCAGACTGGATAAAACAACTGAATATTGGTGGTTGGTTGTGAATTCACACTCCACAACAGGCCAGACATGTGGCATTTTCCAGATTTCTTCACATTTGTAAGACCGAAATAAGAGCCAATTCCTTGTAGAAAGTTCTCCCAAGAAGCATAAACTGAATACCCAGGTGTTGCATTGCCATATACAAACAAATCCTGCAATAGTTTGAATAACAATTGTGTTCCTTCTAGTTAAATAAAAAATATTTGCAAGGCTTGGTGTTCACAACAGTTTGAATTTGAAAGTACAACTCCTAGACAAAAAGTTAGAATATTCACTTAACTGAAAGTTTAGTGTATATTTTCTCATGAACAACACAGAGTACGAAACTTTTTTCTTTTTGACCTTACATAAACAACGTCTATGTATATTTGTTATACCCATTAATCATCAGACAAATTAAATCAAATGTTTTTTTGTTACAAATGGAAATGAAATGACAAAAAAATAGAATTACAGTTTGACCATGACAAAAAATTAGAATATTAGCAAAAACAGCCAAATAAACACCCATAAAAAACTATATTGTAATGCAAATTTTTATATTGCTGAGCAGTATAACAGTACAATGTGGAGTGTAGCGCGACATCAGTGACAGAACTAAAGATATTATCATAGCCTGTACAAAGTAGGAAAAACACAAAAATAAATTGCAAATTATGTAAAATGTTCGCAGCCAACAGTCTGTAGAGTACTGAAACAACAAAACTGTGTTCAAGTTTTAACTAATAAATGCCAGAAATGTGGATGTAAATGAGTAATGCCTGCAAGGGATGAGAGAAACTTGAGAAAGATTGTCGTGCAAAACTGCTTTAAGAGCGTTAAACATTTGCATGCACAATGGAAAGCAACTGAAGTAACGTTAGTAGCTGAACCACATGCTGAAGGTTGCATGACTTGCACTTCAACTTCCATGTTCCCAAGAGGAAGCTATCTCTAGCGAAAAAGCAATGACAAGCGAGTGGCAGATGGTGCAGAGAGAGGTTCATGTGGAACAAGACAACTGGAATAACATTCTTTTCAGTGACAAATCTCTGTTTTATCACTCCTGTGGTGACCAAGGCCCATGTGTATAGAGAACAACCAAAGAGGCTTTCAAAACGGACTGTATGAAGAGATCTGTGAAGTTTGCATCATCTGTCATGATCTGGAGATGCATGAATGCTAACGGCATAGGACAACTGTGCATTCTTCGAGAACGTGTCAATGCACAGACTTATCAAGATATCTTAAATAAAGACATTTATGACACCATCAGCAGAGGATTTAATTGAGAAAACATTTCTATTTCAACAAGATAGAGCATCCTCTCATACCGCAAAGTCAATGATATGTTGATTACAAAAATGACAGATTGCAATCTTGCCTTGCCCAAGCAATTCCCCAGACGTAAACCCATTGAAGTTTTGTGGGGAGTCATGAAACAATGACTTAATGAACAGTGGTCAACTTCTAAAGAGGAATTAGTGATGTACATTTAACACATTTGGAACTAAGTCACCAGAAACGAATGCGAAGCATTAATCCGCACCATGCCCGACAGATTGTGAGCATTTATTATGGCAAAAGGCGACGCTGAAAAATATTAAGCTTATTTTGTTGTATTTCCTATATTTAATCCACATTTAGCAAATATTCTAATTTTTTGTCATGGTCAAACTATTATTCTAATTTTTGTCATTTCATTTCCATTTGTAATAAAAAACGTTTGAGTTAATTTGTCTGATTAATGGGTATAATAAATATACATAGACATTGTTTATGTAGAGTCCAAAAAAGTTTCGTACTCTGTGTTGTTCGTGAGAAAATGTACACTAAACTTTCAGTTAGATCAGCGCTGTCCAACTTATCATAGCCCGCGGGCCATATTTTCTTCACCAATCATTTCGGGGGCCAAGAAGGTTACTGCTGTATTCACCCAGGTTAAGTGAAGTTACGCAAACTAAATAGTACCTACTTTAAATTCAAATTAGATTTAAATTTTCACATAGTAAAATAATTTTAATATTAATAATAATAATTTAGTAACATAAATATATTCATAGTAAAATGTACTCGCGGGCCGTAAAAATTATTTGGCGGGCCGCCAGTTGGACAGCCCTGAGTTAGATGAATAATTAATTTTTTTGTCTAGGAGTTGTATTAAATTTGTTAATAAAACATCCATCAATTTACTTCTTTTACATAAGTACCCTATACTTTTCATTATTTAACATTAGAATCAAAAAATATATATACATTTGTAATCAAAAATATTTGTTTTTACTTACAGGACATAAAAAATCAATATGTGGGTATAGTTAAAATGTTAGATGGAGGAGATGTTTTAAAATTGGATCAAGTGCACTTAGAAACTGTAATTCCAGCATTTGGAAAACAAGTTTTAATACTGAACGGAGCATACAGAGGATGCGAAGGAATACTTCAGAGTATTCAGCAAGATAAATTTTGTGCTACTATAAAAATTTCATCCGTAAGTTAATAATTTATTTATTAGAATATTTTGTGTTTTTCGGTAGATTTGTTTTAAAAAATGTTAAATTTCAGCAAATTATGGTAGATATCTTTAGTACAGTATCACAAATATACAGTACTCCCGCAATTAATGCATTTCTCTAATTCTTATTGTTTCAAACAACACGGATAGAAATTCAATTAATCAGGTGTTATTTTTCAGAGTAGATTCATATTTTCAAGCTGTCAGGCTGTTCAGTGCACTGTAGGGAAATTTTAACTGTAAATATATGTATTTTAAAAAAGGATGTGTATTAGTTAGTACCTCTTTACTAAATGTCTTAAAGAAAAAGCCAACAGAAGTGGGGCTTATGTCCAAAAGATATTCCTGAATAAAGGGTGATGTTAAAGATGCCCAGTGTCTACCTATGTACCCAGTTGTGAAGTAGAGAACATTTGATCTACTGTTTGTCAATGGCAAAGATCTTTGTTATGTAATGTAATTATTTTTTACTTAAAAAAATCATGTAAATTGTAAGACTTATGGTTCAAAAATATATTTTGAATTAATTATATAAGGGGGTACAATGATTTTAAAAAGTTACAGTTTTAAATCCATTAATTTACATGATAATGATAATTTTATTTGGTGATAATTTAAAAAGTTGGCAGTCGTATTTTATGAAATTAAATGATTTGTGTTATCGTGTATCAGTAAAAAAGTTAATCTGGGACTTTTAAAGTGTTTACTGATTAGATTAATAAGTGTGCCGATCAATTAATGTTGGCTTAATTTTATTGTGTATCGTCATTTTTTGTTTTCGCATGAATTCTGAGGTCCCATTGATGCTCATGAGGTGGCATTGAAGTTAATAATTATGGATTAACAGTATTTTTAGCAATTGTTTGCAATTTTTATAAACTTTTTAACCATTGGTGCTTCAAAAATGCATCCAAAACATAATAGTAAATCTAGCAGTGGAGTAAATAAAGAAGTATTTCTCTATTACCATGGAAATTAAACTGGACATTATAAAACTAAGTGCATTAGGTGGAAAAAAAAACAACGTTCGAAATGCCTCCTAATGGATGAGGCAGACGGAGGAACCCCCAGTTCAGCTCTGTTCTATAAGCATTAAGAGGACATTTTCATGCTCATAGGGCAGAAAGAGTCAAAAAATACCCAACATGGGTTTGGCTAGGAGCAGGGACAGACCCCAAAAAATTTTCTGGGTAGAGTCACCTAATGCAATAACCGAAATCTTAACCATCTTGGTTATTGCAGGTGTTGTTTCAACAGGGACAAATATAAGTATTTTTAACAACAGATTGACTAAATTGATGCAATAAGGACATAAGCATATAAACAAAATTAGTTATGTAAATACATCAAAAATACTTAGCAGTAGTTATCATTTCACAAAATATTCAGCTGATATGTAACCCAACTAATGAGATACAATTTTCCATATTTTTAATAAAAAGTTGCAAAGTTAGAGATTACATCCTATCTGTAAAGAAAATTCTCACAAAGCCAAACATCTGTCTGTGAAAGCAGTCCCAAAAGAACAATTTGAAATACTTTTCCACTGGCCTTCCACACCACAATTGATCAGATGCATTATGGCATCTCTTGCAACAGTTCTGTAAGGCAGTTGAAAGTGCACAAGTCGAGAATTAGATCATTGCAACAACCATTCTACATCTCATGTATACTGTTCGATGCATACAGCATTTCCCGGAACCTAACCTTAGCATTAAATGTGGTCCTACTGTATTAATAATGAAAATTACGAAATAATTTCATAAAAATTTTGAGGTATTTTAAGTTAACCATGATGTACTTTAATCATTCTATTTCATAGGGACCCTCGAGAGGCAGAGTCGTTGAAGGAATTGCATACGAAGACTTTTCGAAGTTACATACTTCATAACATTTACTTTTACGTACGTAGGAATATTGTAAATACGACATTAGGGAAGAACGAATTCCAAATTATTATGTGGTATTTTTTTTTTCTCCATTTTGTAATATTTTCTAAAAATAAATTATTATTTTATCATATGTCCTCATCATTTTTTGAAGATGTAGTCCATGAAACTGGGAACTTAGAAATTATTGTTGAAGGCCAAACTGTACTGAATAAACAGCAAATGCTATCTTAAAAATACATCTAAGATCATTACTCAGTTATTGGATCAAAGTAAATTACTAAAAATAGAAAAAATATATTTTGTAAATCATAGAATAACATTTTCTATTGTAAACAAAACAATTAGTCTAAATTCTGTACTTTATTACAAATATTTTTGTTTACAAATGATTGGTAATGTATCTGTAGTCCAGTTTCAACATTTTACAACACTTTGACACAATTTTAGAATTCTTGTACAAAATTAGGGGACAACTGACATCCGCATTATTCATTCCCAATTCCAAATAAAGTGGGTCACGAAGATTTCAGATTTTAAATGTTGACATCCCAAAATTTGTTTGTGTAAACCATGTTTTTGAAAAATAAAGTACACACTAGTTACTTTAATGTTATATTATAGTTTACACCTACATTGAATTTTTTTAAATGGATTTGTCTGCAGTCCTTTTTGACTTTCTTTGATTCAATAGAAAACTGGAAAAATGTCGTTAAAATTTGGGAGGACGAGCAATAGCAATGTAATTTTGACACACGAAAGTTCAAGTTGGAGGCGACTGTGACGGCAACACCATCGATGCACGAGAACATAAGACAAGGAACCGATAAAATGGCAACGTCTCTCCAACAGTGCCATAATGTCATTGATTTTTGATAAAATCCAATCGACATCTATTGGTTCATGCAGGTAAGATGACTACGTGAGTCGCACACAAGTTTACGGGTAGAATTCTACAGTTCCAAAAACCCACAGTTCCGTTGAAGATTCCGTATGGCTTTCAATGTGGTCATGTTAATTATGATCTCTAATATTTTATTTATGAAAAACAAATATATATTCAGGCTGTTTGAGGTAATCAATTTGAAGAATATAGCAAAGGTTGGAAAGTGACTATTTCTAAATGGAATTATGACACTGCAGAAACATTCTTGAACAGTATTTGACGAGCCTTCGAGAATCTAGAAACTGTTGCCAGCTTATAGACACTGAGATGACGGGCTTTGTAGGTTTTATGGTTGCGTGCCACAGTCTGCATCAGCCTATTGAATCATTCTTCTTCATAATGAGTTGAAATATATTACAAAGTGCTGTACCTTTTCTCACTTCAAGTAGCCTGTTGGAAGTTGTAAATAAATTGTTGATATTGAGCATTACAATGCTATAGATATTTTGGAAGGCTTTGAGTGTCTTGAGCTTGTCATTATTAGACCAAAATTTACTTACACAAAACACAATTTTTGCTGGCCAATAAATAATAGTGTTGTATCAAGCTACAGCAGTTTTTTCCCTATATATATTGTCAAAATAAAGGGAAAAACCGTTTACGCGTGTCATTTCTTTAGCTTTTCCTTCATTACTTCGAGTGGGATAGGTCTTAAATGATTTTAATGATTATCATTTACAATTTTTTAAAATATAAAACTCGTTTCTAACCCCAAAATTAAGTTTTTTGACGTTTTACAATAAATAATAATATAAAAGTTATTTTTTTTAAATCTCATAACAGCCGGGAAAGTTACGCAACTGGTTGCTGGATTTTTTTAGTACAGCTCTCCTACTAAAGTCCAAATGTATAAATAAGCAACAACTTGCAGATTAAAATACTTCTACGTAATAATTTGTGCTAAATTTAATCATTTCTTTGGGTCATATTGGTAATCCTAAAAGTCGTATCTCTGTATTTAACTACATTGAAAAGCTCCCCGTTTTAATGTTTATTGCCTTATTTCAAAGTATTTAAAACTTGTGTTTACCAACGCTGCTAACATATAATGATGCATTACATACCAATCAGGAAAGAAGAGGCATAAAATGAGGAAGAAAAGAAAAAAAAAATTTCGACTGAATTTAGTAAATGAAACTTTTAAAAATCTGGTGGCCCACCAGTGCCCGAGTGGATAAAAACACTGGACACTGGTAGTTGGTCGCGGGTTCGTATATGGCTAACGGATCGGTCGAAGTTTTTAGTGGGTTTCTTTATCACCTAAACCAGTGGGTTTCTTTATCACCTTACATCAGTATCACCTAAATAGGGGAGTTCCCTGGAGGCATTCCTTTTCGGCAGATCTCCCAAGTGTCACGTTGCCATAAACGAATGAACCAAAACCGATACTACATAAAATGTATTTCGATTCCACTAAAATAGTTTGTTTAATTAGCGATATTCGTTGTAGTGTCGACTATATAATTTGTTTTAATAAATTAAGTATCAGTTTAATATTAAAGCGGGTGTAATTCTTCAGATCCACATTTTACAATGCACGTGATACACCATTTGTTTTTTAATGATATAAAATTATTTCTAGAAATAGTCATTTAAATGTCATTATCATCATCACTGATATTACAAGATAAATGACAAGCGCTTATCTTATCTTGACCGTGAATTTGCTTTCATTTCGTTTTATGTCACCTTGCAGTCTTCGATAAACCAAATTGCTCCAGTGTGGCGCCGTCTCCGGCAATATGGCGGCACGAATTGCTTCAATCACGACCAAGTTACTGGCGTCCCGTGAACTGAACCGATTGAAATCACCAATCTGTATTGATCTTAAATTTCCTAAATATTCGAGTGCACGCCGTACTCGGATATTCCAGTTGGATCAACGGGTTGTACAAAAGGAGTTCATCAGATTTTATTCACGTGTCTAACACATAAATAAGAGGCACATCACCCCTGACAGATCGTATGTTGCGTAGCCTTATTCCATCAATCCAATACGATTTCAAGCCCGAATCTGGATCAGAAAATTTTTGCCAGTTTGTCGGGTCTGGAATCGCACCACTCGGCCTCCGCCATTGCGAGCCCGGCCTCATAAAATTTCGTTAATAGTCACAGTAAAGGCTGAGAGGTTAAGGTACCAACCTACCGCTCCCGAGGGTCTAAAATCTACAGAAATTTTTCGGGGGTGATTCGCGTATGTCAGACCCTTCCCTAACCATCCTGCCGCTCCATTACGAGCCTAACTAAACGAATAATTGGCTTGCTAAAAAAAAGGGCTCTATTAGTACGAATAGTTTTTAAAAAGTGCCAACAAGACAAAAAAATAAGTGTCGCGTGAATTCCGAATCGGATTCGAACCGGTATTACTCTCAACAAATACGTGGCAACACTTTTATTATTAATATTTTATATAAGAAAGATCGTCGCGTATAATATTTATAAATTTATAAAATAAAAGTTAAAATATTAATAAGACATCGACACCCTTTTAATATTTTCGATTTTAAGTTTCGAATTTAAGAAATAAAAATAAAAATAAAACGAGAAAAAAATAATAATAATACCTCCAGGTGGCGCGGAAACGTTTATAGTAGGAGGAAGGAAAGTATTTAAGTGTCTGTTTGTTGTTTTGATTTCTAACGTATTGAAAATGGTGATTTGTTTGTATTTCTTTGCCGTTATGGCCTTGGCAGTGTTGGACGTTGTCCACGCAGCGAATTTCGACGCCGGAGATTGCCTAGCGTTAATCATCGGCCTGGTCATCGGTATATTGGGAATCTGTGCATGTTTAGGCTGCTACGCAAGGAAAAGAGCGGGCATACAATACTGAATAACCAATAACAATCGACTTTTCATAACAATAACTTTTAAAAAACGTGTGAAAATCTTTGATAAAATGGATGAAGAAACATCACTGGTAGAGGCAGTAGCGAGTGATTCAACGTCATGTGACGATAAATTGTCACGTGGTTGGTTGGAAGAAGGAGGTTGAATGCATGCAACATGTCCGCCTGTGTCATTCCATTTTTTGTAATTTTTTTCGAAAGTAATTTCTAGTCGAGGATTGTATAATTCGATGGAAGAATAAATGTGGTAAATGGTTTGATTAAAATTTATCTGCTGATTTGCATATCTCGTGACTTATTGTTGACGTCGTGGATAACATCACACTTAACTTTTAACGTTCGTGATTATTTAATTAAGTTTTAGAACAAATTCTGAGTGACGTGAACCTTTTCCTCCTGTTTGTTTCAATTTTGTCTTTTCCTTGGAAGTTTGATTGGTTGATTAAACGGTGTTTCGACTACTGGAATATCATTTGTTTACTCGAGAGTGAATTTAATACAGTCAAATATTTTGATGCCATCCCTTTTGTATACACTTTATTCACTTTTAAAACAATTGGTCTATTCTATTGCACGCTAATTAACACATTAAACAAATTGCCTATTAGATTACGGTTACGGCAAAGTGGTCTTATCGCATCGAGATGACGAGAAACCGGACTCAAATGATTTAAAATATTAATTAATATTTGGATAATTTGAGTCCGGTTCCTTCTCGTCTTGATGCGAGGAGTCTCTTTCGCTGTGGCCATAATATCCGATAGGTTATTTGTTTAACGTGTCTTTAACTTTGGGCAAGAAGTGTACTTGATTTAGACAATGTACAGTACTGTACTTGCACTAAAAAAATTTAACTCATATCGTAACTTATATCAAGGATGATTTTAATACAATTATTGCAAGTGATGTGTTAATTTATCCTTTTAAATTTAATAAAAACTTTGTTCGTAGAATGTTTCAGGAAGAGAGTTTTTCTCATAATTATCAAGGAAGTTTTAATTATTTGGAAGTACAGTTTTGAAGTAAATCTGCCTTATAAATACTTTTTAAATCAGATTATTAATTCTGATATTATATATTTTAAATACAGGTTGTCCCAAAAAAAAATGTGTAAATGCTTTGATTATTAATAAACTTTATTTCTTTAATTTTATGTTATTATATTTTCTATAATTTTCTAATTTATGGTAATCACTTCTAGCCTTATTCTCTTATAATTTTAATAAAAATTAATGTGGTGTACGTTTGTTTTTGATTAAGTGTCCATTGAGCGACACTTTGTGTTAAACTTATCGGTACGCGCAGTTATATACTGTTGTTAGACTATTTAAAACATTAT